AGGTGCAAGGCCCAATCGGACACTATATAACTAGTCCAACTGGAGACAACAAAAAGTTAATTTCAATCAGATTTGTTGGTTACCAATTAATGTGACAGATGACAAAGGTTAATGACCAAGGGATTTGGGCAAAACACAGAAAAGGAGGTGTATTGTCTAGTGAACTTATCAATCTAATCCAACCAGGTTCCCAGCCTATCCCCACCTCCATTTTCTTCCCTGCCACTTGGTAAGGTACTATTGCTATCATCTTGTACACTCATTAAAATACTGTTTTTCACACTAGATGAAGGACCATGATCAAAATGCTGAGCAGTTTCCTTTTTAAAAAATGTGCCCTTGTTTTTATACATGAGGTAAAATTAAAAGTCAAAAAACTTCATGTAGTAGCACATTCACTGTCTTAAAGCAATGGTTCTTAATATACTTCGGTAGCAACCATCACTTGGATAAGTGAAATACAGAATCCATGGCAATACCCCATGATGGATTCTAATGCAAATGGCCTAACGTCCCTTCCCTAATTTACCAGATTATGGGCAAATAACAAACCAGGTACTCAATTTGTGCAACTAAGTATTTATCTTCCTAGAATCATTTTATCCATTAAGCTTTTCAGGCAAGATTCCTGAAGTGTACTAAATTCTAATAGCTTAAATGTGGCTAGGAGTGAAATAAATTATGTATACTTCCAAACCTTGTCAAAAAAATTTTTTTAATCATTTTCTATGGTTTGGAGTTATCTCTAAAAGTGACCATCCTATTAAGGTGTACTACTAGGACACCATCCCCAAATAAATTTACTCCATTATCACTGGATTTTGCATGGATCTTGATTTTGCCAATGCAGACTAAACTGACCCCAAAACTAATAAACTCATATATTTCAAGATCAACACAAATGCTAATAGTAGACAGTAAGTTCAGTTCCTCTGGCTTCTAAAATTTGTAATACCTAAACATAAATTGCTCACAAAGTACAAGGTAACCTTCACTACAAAACAGATAACCCAAGCAGTGAAATAGAAGTACACGTTTCTAATGCATGTAATGCATTAGATCTTAACCTTGTAAGCCTACCTCAGCATCAAGGGGCAATGTTCTACAAATGTAATGGATTCCACTTTAGGAACCATAAAGTGCAATGAATCAACTATCATCCTAGTGTGTAGAGTATGACTACAAGATTCTGAACTTTGGGGCTGGGAAGGTGGCTCAGTGGTAGAGCGATTGCCTTACATGCATGAGGCCCTGGGTTCGATTCCTCAGCACCACATAAGCAAAAAGAAAAAAGCCGGAAGTGGTGCTATGTCTCAAGTGGTAGAGTGCTAGCCTTGAGCTGAAGAGCTGAGGGACAATGCCCAGGCCCAGAGTTCAGGCCCCACTACCCAAAAAAAAAAAAGATTCTGAACTTTAAGCACACATTGAAATTTAAAGGAATGAATAGGAATAAGTGTAGAGTTCCAGGGAAATTAATTCAATCAGCAGTACTGAATAAATTTTGAAATCTGAGGAGAGCATACACAAAAGGCTCATTACCTCATAACAAGTGGAATTGTTCATTCTAAATTTGCCAGACTGGGAACTAAAATTAAAAGTACATTAATAGTCCATTAGTTCTTTTTGACACAGGTTCTTTTACTTTATAGACCACTTCTTAGAAACATACTGGGATGTTAATTTACCTGCCTCTTGATTCACCCAAACTTTCACAAAACATCAAACACTCCACACAAAACACTCTTAGACCTTCACCCTTCTGAAATCCTAGCAGCATTAGTTTTTTTAGCTGGGAAATAGGAAAATACTGGGGGGCAGGGGGAAGTAAGGAAAATATGAGGAAAGCAACAAAATCTTAGAAGCATCAAATCTGAGCTTAAAAAATAAAACCTGAACATTGTGTCAGCATCAAGATCATCAGAAACACCAATTCCAGCAAAACTTTATTAGCAGACAAAGTACCAGTACAAACATAGGTAAAGGTCAAGAGATTTAACCTACTTGATAATCTAAATTCAACCTGCAAGCGTTTATAACTTATCAGAAATCCTCTAATTTCCCACTGACTTCCCTACCTTGCAAGAACTGAAGATGTTCCCTGAAGCAGGTACCTATTTGACTGAACAGGTACCTAGCGATCAAAGTAATATCCCCTGGTCTTTTTCCCTAAGAGATCAGAAACACTGGAAGCCCTTTTCAGGGAGTGGTGAAATATTTCTGTTGAGCCTGGTATTATCAAAGTGTTCTTCAATATAAGAGCCAGATCATCCAACAGCTAATCTCAGTAACGGCTCAAACAAAATCACTATTAGAAATGAGATGACATTTAATCATCTTTAAAAAGGTTTAGAAATTAAGTTGTACAAACTGTTCACAAGTGGCTGAAAGTGAAGCTGTGGCTCAAGTGGTAGAGCGCTAGTCTTGAGCAAAAAGACTCAGGAGTGCCCAGAGCTTGAGTTCAAGTCCCAGGACCAGCACCAAAAAGTGACTGAAATGAGAAAAAAAAAAGATGCCTTAGTCTCATGCCCTTTAAGTAGGACAGAGGACAAGTACCAGGAAAAATTGGCTAACAGTTTCCAAAACTCAAAAGTTTATACAACATAAAACGCACTGATTCTCAGCACAATGGCTGCAATAAACCCAAGAATTGGGTAGTTTTGAGTAAAAAAATTTCATGAGGATCCAAATTCACAATATCACATTTCCTCAGACCTTTCCCTATCCAACCAAACTAGTAATCTGGTTAGGGTATAGAAGAGAGGAAGAAAGGCCTCAAAGATTATTTGAAGCATTTTATCTAAAGGACAGAACATTTAACAGGAAAAGGGAACTCCAGAACTATAGCAAAGCAGCTACTTAAGATCTGAAACACAACAGGTGCAAACTGGAATATGGAAAGCCATGAAGAAAAATACAAGGCTGCTAATTTGTTTGTATACATGGCAAAGGCAGCCCCCAGACTTAATAACATTTATCCTGATCAAGAGTTTAATACCTAAAGTAGATCTGAAAACGGGAATTAAAAACAAAGCAAAGCCCTGGTGGCTCATGCCTGTAATCCTAGCTACTCATGAGGCTTAAATCTAGGATCATTCCAGTAGTATTGACTCTTACCTCCAATTAATCACCCAAAAATTACAAAGTTGTGGCTCAAGTGGTAGAACATCATCCTTGAGCAAAAAGCTAAGTGCCAAGGCCCCAAGTTCAAGGCGCACGCGCGCACACACACACACACAGGTTGAACTGGGCTGTATGTAGTGGCTCATACCTATAATCCGAGCTACTGAGGAGTCTGAGATCTGAGGATCGTGGTTTCAAAGCTAGCTTGGGCAGAAAAGGTCATGAGACTCTCATGTCTAATTAATCACTTAAAAACCCAAAGTGGAGCTGTGGCTCAAGGTGGCACAGCACTAGCCTTAACCCAAAGAACTCAGGGACAGCGCCCAGTAGGAGTTCAAGCCCTGCAACCAACCAACAAACACAGGTTGAGTGTAACTTTTATAACTGGGACTTCCAAAATTTGCTAGTGGCTCACATTTGTAACCATAGCTACTTAGGAGATGCAAATAAAGGACAAAAAGTCATTTGGGTAGAAATAAAGATTCCATCTCCAGAACATAACGCAAAACAAATGAAAATGAGGTGTGACTCGTGGTAGAGCAAGCCAAATGAAGAAGCTGAATGTGAGGCTGAATTCAAATTCAAGGACATTAGAAAAAAATAACTGAGGTCTAACATATCTAACAACTCCCTCCCTTTCCCATTAAAGATAAGGAAGTCTCAAAAACATGGGGCTGGGCTGGGAAGGTGTAGCTCCGCAGTAGAGGCCCTGGGTTCGATTCCTCAGCACCACATAAACAGAAAAAGCAGGAAGTGGCGCTGTGGCTCCAGTGGTAGAGCCACTAGCCTTGAGCTGAAGAGCTGAGGGACAGCGCCCAGACCCAGAGTTCAGGCCCCATGACTGGGGGGGGGGGGGGGGGGCGGGAACAGAGCTGAGGGACAGCGCCCAGGCCCAGAGTTCAAGCTCCACGAAGGACCAAAAAACAAAAACAAAATTGATCTGGTAGTTTACCACACCAAACCTTTTTTAATGTATTCCACTGAGGCTTTACAGGGGGATAGTTACATAAAATAAGCAGTTTTAAGTACCCCCATCTGGAAGCATGACTCAAATAGTAAATCTTTAGCTTAGAGCCAGAATACACTTTGAGGCCCAATACTAGCACGCGCACACACACGCGCACACACACACACCCCAAAAAGGACCAATACTAGCGTGCGCACACACACACACCCCAAAAAGGACCAATACTAGCGCGCGCGCGCACACACACACACACACACACACACACACACACACACACACCCCAAAAAAAGGATAATCGCAGTTTGGCAATTTCAATACTATCTTCCCACTGATTTAGTCTAGGATCCAGCAAAATTTCTCGAAGCGGCTAGATATTCAGGTGTTTCAGAACTGTCACAATACAAAAGCATTCAGTTGTACACAGTACATGAACAAATTCACATAGGTACCATATTCATTTTAGAAAAATGGGCTCGAAGCCATGTCTATCAGATTTTACTGACAGCTGAATGAACCTCACGGTTAGCAATGCAAAAATAGGTCCTTAATCCCTCAGGATTATTGTACCATTTCTTGTGTTACCTTCAGAATTTTCTAGTTTACTGTTCTCAACCATCTTCTTTAACTGACTACAGCCTTAATTAATCAGGTTGAACATAACAAAGTTTTATACCCAAATTAATATACATCAATGCCCTAAATGCTAGTAACATACCAACAACTTTCCAGTCCATTTCTTACCAATGTGTACAACTTTACAAATAAAATAAACGCTAGAATAAAAACTATTGATTATTCCTTAAATGTTTAATTAAAGACTTGTAAGCACACCCTAAAATTCTAGGCTGGATAACCAAGATTCTAATCCCCCAAAACCTTTAGAAATAAAATCAAACAAATGACAACACACACA